TCTCTATTAATGAGCTGACGAGTTAAATCGGGTGTGTTAGATGAGTGAGACAGTGCTGACTCATAAAATATATTACATGCATGCACAGTTTAAGGCAGCTTTAATCGCCTTTTTGGTAACTTCATGACTTAACTGACCATGCCGTAGTTTATGTAGTTTATTTCGCGCTTTGATATGAAAGGATACAGGCTACAGCGCGCGCCGGCGCCTTTATTGAAGAGCCTCAGTCATTCTGCGACTGAATAAATGATCTTCTTGTCAAGAGAAAAAGTGACAGAAGCAGCAGTTGTGAGTGGGGTGGCCAACCCTAGCCCCGCCCCTGCGTTAAATATTTTTAACGTGTTAAACTGGACAAATTAATCGCCTGCGTTAACGCGCTAATTTTGACACCACTAATAAATATATATATATATATATATATATATATATATGGTTCGCTATTTGAGGATGTTCAATATGCGTGTAATGTAGGACATCTTTCTTTGAAACTCTACCTCAAGCGTCAAAACCCCAGAGTCTTCTGTTGAAGAAAGCAGATAAAAGTGCTATTTTAAGGTGTTTAACGAAGCTGCCAGCTGGGTCAGTTTCTCAAACTAGATAATCTCTGATGTACTCCTCATCTTGATGCATTTGGAACTATCCACTTTCTGTCCTGGTAAGATCTAGTTCGATTTCTTTTTTCAAAACACATGGAATATCTGTCCTAAGAACAAGAGATTGATGACTTGTCCCTGGTTTTAGTAGTTCCACAAGAACATATTTTTACCATTCAAAATCTTTTGAATATTTGCACTTGGTGTGAAAGGGTCTTAAAAACTTGTGGGATTTTAAAGGTCCACTGAAGTGCCTTGAAACACGCACCGTTATGCTATGTGGTGACGTAATTTAAACTGTAACAAGAAGACAGGGCGGGATATATTGAGCAGCCCCGCCCCCTTTTTAAATAGCCAACAGCGTTTTGCTTATAATATCACAGCTTGGGCCAGAGCCTTTGAGCTTGGTAAAGCCGCATTTGACAGCTTATGACAGCCACAGTCTAATAGGTTAGCCCTTTAGATTCAATATTAAACTGTTACTAAAGCAAAACAGTTATTATGATGCTGAGGATGAAAATGGTGTCATTTATGTTGGTGCAGGGCACCGGTTTTATCTCTTCTACTCGTTAGTGGCGTTTGTCTAACCGTTCCTCCACCTAATCTGATCTAAATCGCTATAAAAATATAGCATTCTGTGTAGAATTCAAATGGGTCCGATACATTTTGTGGTCTGCGCGACTCGCACATATGATCTGCTCTTTACTATCGTGTCTCTGGACCGGAGTAGACTGTGTGCGTCTTTCGACCCAATGGAAAGCATATTTACACTGTCTGAATCGTTCCATATCCCCCTTATAGTGCACTATGAGCCATTCAGCATACAGAAAATACTAATTCTGTTAACAAGTGACCTATCAGCAGTTTATTTATAGTCTATTTGTAGTGTAGGGGGCGGGACACTTCAGATTCTAGAAAGCATTTGATTGGACAATGTTTGACGAGAAGCTGAAGTGCAGGCCAGGGTATGCCATCAAAATCGTTGATCCATATTGGCGGAAGTGAGAGACTGTAAGTTTTTAATGTTTATATCTTCTAAATGTGAATTGTGTCATTGTTTTGGAGCACACTAGCTTTTAGATAACCTTAAGGCTAACATATTCATACTAAAAAACTAAAAACTTCAATTTTGATTTCATGGGGACTTTAAAGCCATGGTTCGTGTATGCGTGTCTCGTCACAGATTCCTACCTTTGGCCACAGGGGACGGAGTCGGCACATGGTGTCCACATCCTTGATGGCTTGACCGAAATTTTTCATTTCCATAAAAAGCTCTGCCCGCCTAGCCAGGAGCCGACATTCACAGGGCTCTGTGGAGATGAGAAGGGGTCTTACTAAAAAGAAACAGAACAGAAATTTAACTACAGAATTTTAAGGAGGTTGTAAGCTAGATAGCTGTGGCTAAAACATATTAGTAGACTAATGTATTATATATTGTATTACACGCCATTGGTAGGGCTGCACGATAAATCGCATTGGAGCGGCATTTAATACACAGAGCCGTAGTTTACTGACAAGCTACGCAATATCACGTTCATAATCGAATGCGATTCATCTCCGATTATTAATGCGAAATCGCGTAGCTTGTCAGTAAACTACGGCTCTGTGTATTAAATGCCGCTCCAACTGAAAGCACGTGATGGAGATTTACTACTAATCACAGAACCGGCTTTACTGACAAGATGCACATGACAATCACATGCGATTTATCATGCAGCCCTACTCCATGGCATAAACTATAACAAAGGAACTACAAGGTCCTGAAGGTCCATACTTGATTCTAGCTAAAGCAATAGGGTCTGCATAAATAATATACGAAAATAAGAAACTATCGACTTCAGACAATAATTTTTTCCTTACAAAACAGATAAAACATTTTTATGAAGTGACTTATCCAGATGTGTACCAATTTTTTGTACAGAGTATGTCTACACAAGAGAGGTGATGAAACTGTAGGAATACTTATTCACTCCGAGTCCGACTATAATCAATGAAGAGCATGACTTGTTTTTCTTAATTCATTATAATGATAGTGATCTAAAAGTTACTTTTAGAGCCTGTAAAGAAATATTCTGATTTAGCCAGCTATCTAGACTTTACCTATCAAACTAACAATTAGAAGTCAAACTTCCAATCATCTACTAGTGATAAAATGTGTGCTAATTATCCTACAATTGTTGATAGCTCTTGCACATATTCAGCACTTTTCAATGCTGCAGTTCATCCATCCATTTTTCATTTTATTTTCAGTTATCTATTTGTATTTATTTATTTGTATAGTGCTTTTCGCAACAGATTGTAAAAAAAGTGCTACACAAAGCAGCTTCACAGTGATAAACAAGAAAAATATCAGAACCAATTATGGAAACTCAATAATGGAGACAGTTCAGATCATTCTGTTGTCAAGCAGCTCTGAAAGATGACAGTGTCATTACTCAGGTCAAGTCGGTTAAGTTATAATCAATAACAGTGTGAATTATCAAATTTTGAAACAGGTCCAGTTCATCAGCAGCAATGTTGTTATTCAGCTTTAGTCCATTTTGATTCAGTTCAGTTCGAAAACAGAGTTGCAAGCTCCACAGAAGACAATAGTTCAGCTTGATTTAATTCAAATGTTTGTTCTCATCCGATGGTGTCAGTGTGGTCATTTCGATAGATTTTCTGAAAGTTATGTGACTTTCAGACTCTAACTAAGCAAGCCAGAAGACGACAAGAGCAAGGAACTCAGACTCCATCAGGTGACAGAATGGAGATAAAAAAAATCCTTGGGAGAAACCAGGCTCATTTGGGGGACCAGTTCTCTTCTGGCCCGAGCGAACAAACACAGTGGTGGCTGGAAGCTTCCTGAATGCCTGGAACCAATCAGTACCACAAAGTCCATGTATTAAGAATTTCATTTGAAGAGTTTAACCCTAACTTTAGATCTTTAGAATTAATTCTTAATTTGTGATCACAATATCAATGTCATGTTATTGTCACATCTCGGAAGTGTTTACACAACACTCTAAAAACAGAAAAAAAATTCATGCATTTTGGCCATTCATTTCCACAAGAACAAGAGCTGCACGACTAATCATTAAAAGCTTGTGATTTCAATTCAAAACTCCATGCAAACTTATTCCTCAATGACTACGATTCCGTTGTCTATTATGGCTCTTTCACATTGCGTCAGCGGAGCAAGAGCAGCACATACTTTTGTCACTGCCCATGTTACAGAATGACATGGTCAGCGGTCACACTTTCAATGTGATTCATTATATGGACTATGGGAAGCCAAACACACGAAAGTCAGTTTGACAGGTTGAGCCTTTGACAGGTCAGCGCAGCGCAAACTCTGTAACATCGCGCTGTTTCGCTTCCCATACATACAAGTCAGTAGCACGTTGTGGAACTCCAGTAAGTAGGCTGGTAAGGCTATTTTATTTACTTTAAACATCGTATGAAGTGATTCAAATCTCTTTAATACAGATTCTCTTTAATACAGACAATGCGGAGTCTAATTTATTAATGCAATTAATAAATTAGTCATGACAAAAAAAGATGATAACCAATGTATTTTTCCATGAGTCCGCTATGTTAGCAATTATAACGTTACCTAGCTTGTTTGGTAGCTTGTTTAATATTGTAGCTTGTTGGATAGTAAGTCACCCACTAGAACTAACAGGTTGACTGTGACGAGTGGGGGCGGGATTGAGAGCCGTGGGAACGGAGCGAGGCCAGTGGAGTAATTGATGATGAGCGACACCTGCACCACTCACCGGTCTCTAGTCCCACGGAGGAGCTCCGGAAGTATAAAAGGTGGAGTTACGACAGTGAAAGACGAGAGAGGACCAGGCCTGGATTTTATTTTGTGTTTGATGTGCGGCAGTCGTCCGCGAGGGGCTGCCGCTTTAATAAAATAAACAAACACAAAATTAAAGTCTTAAGTGTTCGCCGGTTCCCGCCTCCTTCTTCCCGAACTACGAACGTTGTTACATTGACAATAACTGGTTATTAAAAAAAATAAATTTTCATTGAATCATTCAAGGGGTTCTATTATGCTTTTTAATTTTTTCATCTTTAGTTAGTGTGTAATGTTGCCGTTTGGCCTTAAAAAAAGATCTGCAAAGTTACAAAGCTCAAAGTCCATTCCAAAGTGAGATATTCTCTTTAACAGAAAATGCTTTAAGAACTACAAAAAATTGCTTGTTCGGACTACAGCACACTTCTTCCTTATAATATGAAGACACAATATCACTCATTTCAATAATTTCTGCCCACGAAAAAGGGTGTGAGGCCTGGTTGAGCTGCACTAGAGACCATGACTATATACATAAAAAAATAAAAAATAAAATATATAAATATATATATATATATATACCACTCTGAAACATCCTGTAAAATCCATGCTTTCAAAGGTTCTGCATGATCCTCGTTTGTTAACATTTCCAGGGGCTGAATCGGGCTCAATTTGGTATCACGAAATTAACGCCATTGTTACTATTTACAGCTGAGCAGATGAAACTTGCAGTTATGGTAAGTGGTGTGTCATTTCCATAACATGCTCTAAGCAGTTCGCCAATCACAACACACTGGGCCAGCTAACCAATCAGGGCACATTTCGTATTTTGGAAGGATGGGTTTCATCGAAACAGAAACTAAACAGGGCATTTGAGACAGACTGGGAAGCGAGGTGCTGCAATAATGTTAAATATGTGAAAAATAATTAATTTAAGGAAAACCTATTCTAGTACACCCCAAAAACCAAATCAAGACTTCGTAAGAGAGCATAATTAGGGATGTAGGGATTTTTTTTTTATTTATTTATTTTTTACAAAAGATTAAAGACAAATTCTAAATGAAAAGGTGTCCTTTTATATTGCTTTGTAGGGATGTAACGATTCACTCAACTCAATGCGATAAAATTCACGATACTGATTTCACAATACGATTTTGTCATGACTTTATTTTAACAAAATAAGATTTAAGACAAACTCTAAATGAAAAGGTGTCCTTTTATATTGCTTGGACAAAATGCTGCACATTTCTTTGTGAAATTGAAATGTCAAATAAAACGAAATTGACATTTTAAAACAAACCCCAAATCAAATAAATAATACAATATAATACAAATACAAATAAAATTAATCATATAAACAAACTAAGGCTTTGTCTGTGCTCTTTCCATTTAAAATTAGAGGCAACCACTGTATTTTAATCATGATCCAACCCGTTTTTAATCTAGATTAAATTGTATAATTTCGAAATTTGAAGCAAAAACAGAATGGTCTGACTTTAGCTTTGTGAAACTGAGATGCAAATTCATTCTCTGACAGCAGGTGGCACGTATGGAACAGTGGCAATTAGTGGACGACCGATATGGGTATTTTTGACAGCCGATGCCGATATCTTGGAAAGCAGGGTAGCCGATGGGCGATATAAAGCAGATATAATTTTATTTATTTTAATTGATATTTAAGAAATTTGAAATAATTTGAAAATGGATTAAAAATAATTGTGTAAAATAAATATATATACTTTAGAAGACAAAGCACTTTTCACAAATAAATAAATATTGAATAAAAATCTAATTAAAAAGGAAGTAAACACTGTAACCAACAGGGCACTCAGTATCCTGGGAAGTTTGTTTGCATTGGGAATCTTTTTTTTTTTTTTTTCAAATAAAGCCAAGGTAACACTCATTTTACTTACAGCACGCAAAGAAAACGACATGAATATGACAGTGGGCAAATGCATAAAGCGCACCATAATTTGAAATCACTAGTTTAAAATTTGTCGATCGCGCGTCTCCTCCTGTCAGCATTCAATTCTCACGGACCGACCGTCATGCAGAGAACACGCGATCATGCAGGATACAAATGCACACTTCACAAGATCTCAACTAGATTCGACTAAGTCTGCAAGGTTTGTGAAATTATCATTATTCATTCAAAGATTTGTTTAAATTATATAAATGCATATTTGCTGAATGCTGACGGCAAACGAGAAAGTATTATAATTACTAATTATCTATTACTAAATATCTATTACTAATAATATAAAAGCAATCGTTATAATACTTTTTTGTATACATTTTAATTCCTTTGTTTAACAGTTCTATCTGATTATTA